CAGTTCATATCATTGACTGTATATATGGTTGACAATGCGTCACCGCTTCCCTCCACTATGCAAACGTCAAGCCAAAATATCGTGAATACAGTGGCCACCATCTTTTTTTGCTACCAGAATTTGTGCAGCCAGAAGTGGAGCGACGGCACTGGACCGTCAATCAAAGCTGTCAAATCAGCCAAAATACACCTTTAAAAAAAAAAAACTTATCTTAACTTAACGAACATCAGTAAAATGATCACTTGTGCACAAACGAGAATAATATCTACCAAAAACAACAAATGACCTCTGGTAAAAAAAGGATTTGATTTGAGTTTTTAGTTCAGCTCATGTCCCTTCCACTAACATGGAGGCAGGATTTATGAGCTGTACTACAAACAGCCACCAGAGGCAATCGAGTCGCTGTCAGCCTGTCCATCGTAAAGTCAGTGGTTAATATATTATCAAAATTAAAATGAATCGCCTTTAAATGCCAAAAGAAATGTTTATATCAGCCTGCATTGTTAAACAGGTGGTATGATGGAAATAAAGAGCTTAGAGATGGATCAGGGTGAAAATAGAGCTCCTCCTCTTTCACACAACTGGATGTTTTCATATCTCTGTTAACACAACTCAGTAGTGAGGATTCCTTGTGTGGAGTTGTGTCCTGTAGCCTCCATGGCACAAGGTGCCCCTCTGCGGCTGTTTTTATCAATCAGATTCATCCAGTTATGTTGATTTGAATTCAGCATTACCGCATCTTTGTTTGAAGACAATCACAGATGACAGGAGAAATCCATCCAGACAGAACAGTCGGAATACTTAATTATCCCTTAAACAGAATGTGATGTCACAGTCACTCATTTCTCAGTCCAATGTGAAACACCCCAATCATATTATGCTAGAAACACTTTTGAATTATTCAGAAGACATCCTGAATAATCAGTTGTTTGCTGGTTTATTTTACAAAAACACTGCAGGTCAAATGCATTCTCTCACTGTAGCTGCAGGTGGTCCCAACAGAGGGTCTCAGCGAGCGGTCCCGAAGTAGTGGGCCCGTTACACTCAGACATTTTCTTTTACCATAAACCAATTGTCTAGAACTGCCTTCTTTCACCTGTGCAATATTGCAAAAATTAGCAGCATCCTGTCTCAAAGTGATGCTGAAAAACTGGTCCATGCATTTGTTACTTCCAGGCTGGACTACTGTAACTCTTTACTATCAGGATGTCCCAATAGTTCCCTAAAAAGCCTCCAGTTAATCCAAAATGCTGCAGCCAGAGTACTGACAGGAACTAGCAAGAGAGATCATATCTCTCCCATATTAGCTTCTCTCCACTGGCTCCCTGTAAAATTCAGAATAAAATTTAAAATCCTTCTCCTAACATACAAAGCCCTTAAGAGACCTCGTAGAGCCTTATCATCCTAACAGAGCACTTCGCTCTCAGAGTGCAGGTTTACTTGTGGTTCCTATGCTCTTAGCCCCCCCCTTTCCAGGAATTACTTGCACCCTTTCTCCTTCAGGTACTACCTATTGACAACTGCAGGCCTGCTACATTAATACCGTTTGTATATGGTTTGCTCTGTTTTTCTCCAGAAGATTCAAGAAATTATTGGACTTCATCAGTGACGTGGTCTTATTGATTACAGACACTTTCTGAATTTCTGAACAACTTCAACTGGACTAGATTTCTAGGTCGAAGACGTTTTACCTCTCATCCAAGAGGCTTCATCAGTTCTGAGTGACTGGTGTTGAGCCAGAGATATTTTTCCCCCTCGTGGTGTTTCAGTCCTTTGAGGGCCAAGAATGTCCCCTAACGACTGAGTCTTGTAGCCCAGTATCAGCGTACTATGACCTGGATGACTGAGAATCTGCACAGACATGTTTCTGAATTTCTATAAAGCAACTGAAGCCTACTGTTGAGCTGTTCCTGCTCTTTTTTAAATAAAGAATGTCAACAACAATTACATTTTGGACTAATAAAAATGTTAATGAATGTATGCAATTGTTTTTAATGTATTTTGTAAATTTCTTCTTCATTTCCTTTTTGCTTTTGAAACCTCTTGGATATTTTATGTTCCAGCTGTTCTTTGGTGATTTTAATAAAGATGTAATAAAAAAAAAAAGCTAAGGTGGGTCACGTAACAGCTGGTAGGAAGTGTCGTGAACGCCTCTTAAGGACTTTCAGCTCGTATTTACGGTAAATCGGACATGACATCAAAGTGTGAATGCTGTGTTTTCCGCATTCTGCGACCGTTTGTGAGCGTCGGGGCGACCTGAACGCCCAGAGCAGCGGAGACAGTGTCGGACGTCTTCAGGAGGCGAGCAGGGACGTTCCACGCACCATCTGCCCTGGAAGCCGAACCTACAGTGTGAGTACGTTCCGTTTCCGAGCTTCAGGCTGCTTCTACATTTGTGCCACCAGTGTGCAGACATATTTCTCGGTTGATCTCCTTTTTTCTTGAACTTATTACAGTATGTGAAATGTTGGAAGGAACCAGGCTTCAGTTTCAGCTATGATACTAGTGGAAGTCGAACATTTTTACTAATTGGAAACCTTTAAAAGCTGTAGGATTCGAGTGCTTCTTCCCTTCTTAAAACATTCCACAGAAGTCTACGATCGAAAAATGTTGTAGCCTATGTGTTGAACATGGAAAAGAAAACGAGTGTGACCCACACTGGTGGCACTTGTAGACAGTTTTCAGTGGCGAGGGCCACTTTGTTGCCAGAGGGGCCCTCACAGGGGCGTTGCTAGACATAAAGCTGTACTGGTGGACAGCCCCCCCCGTTAATCGAAGCACACGTTTTTTACTGAATGTTTACTGTATCCATGAAATGTGCTATGAACTTCCCTTGCTTGGCTTACTATCCCACTGCCTGCTGATCCTGAAACACCTACTGGTAAAAATCTTTATGAAGATATTTATTTCAACATACATTAACAACATTACATGTGTTTATAGTGTAAAAGTCTGGACCTATGTTGCTCATTTCTTTGTATTTTACAATAACAACTACTATAAGTTGATTGTCAAGCAGCGCCAGTTTGATTTGTCAAATTTAAACTTTCACAACAAATTAATCTATTAACAAATCATTAAAATAAAGAAAAACTTTTTTGTAACTCCTAAGGCCACATACATTTTTTATGCTCCAATTACTGCAAAATGGTATTGTGCAGGGAATGGCTGGTCACACATGCATCTCCATAGAGCTCCCTGCACAGATGTCTTCCTGCCTCAGGTTCACCCGTTTGTTAAAATGTATAAAACAAACAGTATTAGGACTATGTGACAAGAGCATCAATGTCGTCTTTTTACCAACTACATCCTGGCCTTCCCTCTCTTGTCTTCATCGCTCCCTCTCTCAGCCTCCTCTAAAGAATTTTCTAATGTCCATCTGCAGCAGTCAGTTGCATTTGAGTCAAAATAAGATCATCGGTATTATTCAGAAACATAATTTAATCTCTGTAACATACCTCAGTTTGTTCCTTTTTGTTTTGTGTGCAATACATGGATTGCTGCATGTATGCACCAGTGCACAGCTGCGATGTGCATACGTGCACACTGTGGTGTATGAACCACTGCTCCTCAGCTTGTATTTTGCGTTGGCATTCTCGATTAGAACAACAATTTTATATGTTATTGATGTAAATTAATCCACTGCCAAATACAGGAACTTCAATCAAATCAGCCTACAGACTGAACACCAGGCTCAGGCTGTTTTAATTCCCTCACAGACCATAAAATAAACCCTTATAATGTCAGGATTTGATTTTATTTTTAATAAAATTACACATTAAAAAGGCACAGTCATTCAGTAGCCTACTCAAGACAGATGAATTTGTACCAGGCTGCCTTGTTTTCATCAACCAGTAGTTGGGAACAGTCAAAAATGGTTGCTCTGGTGGGTTGTCTATAGAGGAAATGTGAACTATAGGATACTATAACATCAGAAAATGTGACACCCATAATGATAGATCACTTAGATATGAGAAATTTGGACTTCTCATTATAGTAGGCTACAATACATTTCCATCCATTCATTAGCTATAAAGCTTATCCTGGAGAGGGTCAGTGGGGTCAGTCTTAGCTGACACTGGGGGAGAAGCGGGGTACACCCTGGACAGGTTGCCAGTCCATCACTGACACATAGAGACAGTCAACTGTGAACTGTACTTAGAACAGAGGTAAATGTTAACTAAATACAAAATTAGAGGCACTTTACTGGCAAGAAAGATTCAACAATGTTGCCAAACCATAAAAATAAAGCCCATATTTTAACTGGCATAATGCAGATGTAGTAACGTCTCCAGCCTTACAACAATTCTCTCTAACGTTATAGAAACAAGGCATTAACAGACAATCTACACGTGTTTTTTAATCTTAGCATTAAGCTCCACCGAGTAGTGGAAACATCACTCCCTTTGAAGTAGCTGCAAGGTCGGTAAATCCAACTGGTGCTCGCTGCTTCTTCCCCCACACGACCACATACAGTCCCAAAGTAGTGAAATTAATTCCAACAGGTAGCGTAGCGCCAACAATAACATCATGGGTCATTAATTCACTGGTTAACCAGCATCACATCACATGCTGCAGACACACTGGCCTCAAGCAGTCAGGACATACAGGTACTGTGCTCTGGGGGAATCCAGGTTGTTGAGCTGATCATTCACTGCCGCGGGGGCTTCACAGGCCGGCTACTTGTAGGTTAGACCCGGTCAGGTAAAACAGCGAATATATTGATGCTAATACTTTTGTACTTTTACTTAAGCAGAGATGGCAAGAGTACACACACTTGTAACTCAAGTAGAAGTACTGATAATGTGTTAATAGTCTAGAAGTAGTGTTTCACACTCTTTACTCGTGTAAAAGTAAAAAAAAAAAATGTACAGGCTCTCAAATGTGCTAAGTATAAAAGTAAAAAGTAGTCTTTCGAAGGACATTTCTACCAGCTGTTTCTGTGTAAATTAAGCTGAGCCTCACATCATCATAATGTATTTCCCAGATTATTAAAACATGCTAATTAGATAGATAGATAGATAGATAGATAGATAGATAGATGTGTGTGTGTGTATTATAATATAATGTGTGTGTGTGTATTATAATATAATGTGTGTGTGTGTGTGTATGTCGTAGCCTCTATAGAAATGATGCACAACTTTACACTGAGTAGAACTAATAGACCAAAAAGGTGTTGTCCCCTCCCATATTCCTTTATATGGTGTCATGTAGGGAAGTCGGCTGTAAAGAGGGAAGTTGGTTACGTACAACTGAGGCCATACACTTTAAAGTAAGGAGAGGTATGAGACAGGGAGGGGAACTGGCTAAGGTAGCGCTATTATACATATTTCTACTTCTTCTTGATGGTTGGAAAAGAACATTCTGTGATAACCTTTTAAAGAATGCAAATGTATTGTCAGACAAAGAGACCAGATTTCTAGCCAGAGCAATTGTTCATTTATTGTACTGTAATGTTGCGGCCAACATTAAAAAAAATCCAAGAGTTACAAGTTTCACATCCCTACAGTAATATTGAAATTGAGAAGTAGTACACACACATGTGATCCAGAAGCTGGTGATGTCTACCTTTGACCTGGCTATTTCACAGAACAGGTTGTGTTGTACCGGTAAATCTAGGTAAGGAATGTACAGAAGGAAAATTGTTTATCCTGACTAAATTAATTTGTGTAGCACAAGTAAAATATCCTTAGACCTTGCCAAGATTTGCCAGGGCCACGAGGAGAGCAGAGATAAAAGGTCTATGGTGATTGTTTCTGTGACATCAAATACAAGGGAGCCTAAAGGGCAGCTTCGGCATGTTCGCTTAGGAATAATAACCAATTGTTGTTGCTTTTATAAGACACTATAATTAAAAGAGCACTTTATCAAATAAAATAACAATAAAACTAAATTACCCAAAGCAATTGCTCCTCCACTCAAATGACTAGTTATGCCTCCACACTGATGATAGCTGTTTCCGTGGCTTAATGTTTTCAGGTTGTCCATTTGTACATATT